TTCTTTGTATCTAAAATGCTTTCACAGTAACACAACAATTTTAGGCTAGAGACTATGTGATTTGATGCCCCAACTCCATAATCCAATTCGTACTTACTGTAGAAGAAGTATTTAAGGAAATCATGATACCTACACTAGCAGCTTGTGAGAAGGCTCTCTCTTCAATACATCTACTCAGCATCCCTAGAATTTGCTGGTACTACTCCAGAGTGAAATAAAGTTAAAAATATGGTTGAGATACACTAGCCTGAGGAGTGGTCTGGAGGTTGTGATCATTTGAAACAATAGGATTACTGGAGTAATCCATGCCAAAGTTTGAGTCTCCATAACTCCAACTTGATTTGCATACTAACCTACTCCTTTCTTCTTGGACTTTGTCCAGTTAGGTGGATGCACTATTAGCTTATAAACAACGTTCTCGATTACGACCATTATAGCCACAAAACTTACAGATTAAAGGATTCTTCTTCGGTTGTCTATTACTAATAGAAGAAGGCATTCTACAAGAGTAATTTCCTCCTGAACTTGAGCCACCGTCCCGCAAAAGTTGTTACAACCTTCATACTTCCTTTGCCAAAAGCTATGTGATATCCCATAATCCCTTGTTTTCGTGAGGCTTCTTTAAAATCAAAAGGAGGCACACTTCTTTGACTGAAGAATGGAGTGTCATCTAAGGTCTTAACAATGTAAGTAGAAGATGAGGAATGGGCAAGAGATATCTTGAGTAGGTCTTTCTAGTATATCCCGAGAGTTACTTCCTCGAATATCTAATAACCTTTGGTATTCATAGTGTTGTGCATAGTGTTTGGACTCAGAAACAGCTAGGGAAGAGCATTAGAGAATCAAACTCATTCCATAGATTTGATAGTCTTCATGAATACTATATATGTGCCTTGACTTAGAGTGACAATCTTTACATGTAAATGAAACACATGAGAACCATTTATAATGTCAAATCTCTCTTTTAGGTCCAGCTAGACCTTGTGTGTATTGGGAGAATAGATAATGCTTCTCAATAACTCTTTGTTTACAACATTCATAAGCTAGGAAAACAACACAACATTTACTTTCTCCCACTAATCATGCATGGACACATCAAACTTATCGTTGGTGTGTTTACCATCAACAAAGCCTATTTTTCTATTACCCTAGAGACATAAATTCATAGATCTACTCCACAATGCATATTTGTCAAATCTAGTTACCTGAAGAGAAATAAGTAAGCTACCTCGAGTATCATCAGGAAGTAGGTGTAAGAAATGATGGTGATCAATAACAACTCCTCCATTGTTACGAGTTGAAGTCAAATTTAGATATCCTAATACTCCTTCAATCACCATTGATGAAGTTTCTCATGAACCTCAGATTGACTTCATCACTAAATTGTGCTATTGAAATCAAAGATCTGTCCTCCATTACAACCTCTAACAGTCTAAACTTCAATCTCTAAACAAATTGGAGCTCTGATACCATGTTAACTTTCATGATGGAAGTTCCTCTTATCTTTTAGAATAATACTTAATATTTTTAGAGAGAAGCACAAACAGAGAAAACATTTTTTTCATTCATCTTCTACTTTGACTTAAAGGATATGTATTTATAGAGTAACAAACTTAACAATCTTCTCTGATACCTAGAGTAATTGTGCTAACTTTTTAACTACCTCCTAACCATACTTTAACTTGCATCACTAATTCAACATCTTCCTCTTCCACAAATTTACCCGAAGAAAATATGTAGTCCTTTGTCAAACTATCAAAAATTTACGAAAGGAAGCTCATTTGCGTTAGTTTTATTTTTTGAATTTGAGCTTGGATGACAGACTACCTTCTCTTTCAAATTGCCGCTCTCCAAATCAACAGATAACCACAAATTGGACAAATATCAACAACAAATATAAATCAAAATAGTAGGCATTCGAAATAGATGAATGTGTGGCTTCCAATAATTTGAGTCCAAGTTCGAGTTTGGTTAACTCACATGAAGAAGAACTGAAAAATAGAGGTGAATGTGGAAATCAAAAGTGATGAACTGAAAAACGGCCAAGCAATATCCCCATTTCAACAGTAGTAATAGAGAAACACTTCCTTCTTCATTCACTATACTCGGAGGGTAGTGAACTCAATTCACTATTGGTGGCAAAATTGGAAAATAGAAGGAAGAAGAATGCATCTTTAGTTAATTTGTTTGGGTTAAGTTAGTTGAATGGGTCAGGCATGAGTTAGATTGGGTGTTGTGTTACTTTTTGAATAAAACCCGGATAATTTCATTTGATTTTGATTCTGTGATATGTGACAAGTTTGTGGAGAACGAAATCGAATAATGTAACAGAAAATAAAACTAGCCATTAAACTAAAGTTTCTTGATAATTTTTACCATTTTCCCTATATTTAAACTATTCCCATAGTAGATGATATATTTGGTCATTTTCGTTTATTTGATCAAAACTTTGCATTTTGTATGAATGGATACAAGCTGGAAAGACAGCCTAGATTTGGAAACAACGGGCGAAGCTCTTATTTCATTTTATTTATGCGCTTTATGTAGCCACATGACTGTAGCTTATTCGTAGAATAAAAAAAATCCCTGAAACCCAAATCCACCGACGCCCCATTTCCTCTCTTTTTCTCTTCTTTGCCGGAGAGAAGGAAAGTTAGAACCAAAAATGCAGAGGTCAGGAGATCAACGGTCAAAGTCATCTAGACCAACAACCATTCACGGGTTTGCTCAATCTGGGGATCTTCTTGGCTTGCAAAAGATGCTTTCTGCCAACCCTTCTCTTCTCAATGAACGTAACCCTGTTGCACGAATCTCTTTCCTTCTTTCTTTCTTTTTTTATGTCATTTTTCATCTCTCTCAATTCATATGAAGGTTAACATTAGGAAAAGAAAATAATCTTGTGTATTTGACTCCACTTTCTTGGCCAGTATGTTTCAAGAATTCTCCCGGTTCTTGTTTATGACAGCTTGTGAATGGTTGCCTGATTCAGAAAAAAAAGGGGGAAATTCTGATCTATAAATCTAAAATCAATGTCCAATACAATATTTGCTTTTTAAACTTGAGAGGTGTTTGAAATTAGTCCGTTAATAATTGTCTTTGTGGTGCCAATGATTGGACATCAAAGTGGCACTCCAGTTCACTAGCAAGTAGCAACTCAATGATAGCAGATTGCCTTAGTCACAACTACAATCTTATCATTGAAGTTGTGAACATCGCCTGTTCTGCTTGATTAAACATACAATAAAATGTACTGTATTCTAGACTAGAACCTCTTTTCCAAAAATAGATGCCTTAATAGGAGTCATTGATATTCTTACTCTGATGAATTACCAATCCTATAATTGCTAATGAATACTGTAAAAATCTTACAACCACTATGTTGGAATCGTTTTGTTGGTGCACTTCTTGAAAATGGGGTTATTTTTTTAAAATTGAAGAGAACCAAAATGAGAAAGTGAAAATGAAAAATCAAAATCAACTGCAGCTTGGAGACGGTAGGATATATGCAAATCCTACTCTAACATTTGTAGGGTCAAGAGGTTGTCTCCTATAGACCCTTGACTCGAAATAAATATAGGTAAAACAAGAAATTAGGGAAAATAACAATATAATAGCAAGATAAACAACATAAATGAAGAAACAAGTAGCAGTGACAATTAAAGAATAAGATACTACGCTAACATGAAGTAATACTACTAAATGAAGAGATGATGAGAAGAAGGGATTGATCCCGCCTATCATGCATAAAGGTACAATAACACTCGGCTACCTACTACCCCTTAACCCTCATCCTCGACCTCCATACCTTACTATCTATGGTCATGTCCTTAGTAAGTTAAAGATTTTCCATTCCCATAGTTTTTATTCGGCCCACCTTTACCTCTCATGAAAGTGTGTGTGAATGGCGAGTGCCTCATCGCCAAAGGCGAGAGGCGAGGCGAAGTGAGCCCTTCTCGCCATTCCACACTAAGGCGAGGCGACATACAAAAGGCGACCCATGGCGAGCTAATGGCGACAATAATGGCCGCACCTTTTTTATTTAATTTTTTAAAAAAGAGTTGACTTATCAATATTAGTCAAATTTAGTTTTTTTTTCTATTTTCAAAATTTGCTGCTGCATGACTCCTCTTCCCCTCGCGATTTCCTCTCCCCGACTCCTCTTCCCCTCACCGGTCGCGTCTCTTCGAGACTTCGAGTTGCTGCTGCACTGAGGACCTGAGGTATACCTCTTTTTTGCTGCTCCTCTACTCCTCTTCTTCGTGCAATCTTATCTGTTCTTCTTCTTTCGTTCTTCTTGAGTTTTCTTCTTCTTCATCAGTACTTCTTCACTTGCTCTGTTTTTTTCCCTTCATCACTGCTGAATCAGCATAAGTAATAAGGGGAAAAAATGTTTGGTGTGCTGACTGCTCTATGTTTTTTTCCTCTGTTCTCTTATGAGTTTTTGAATTGAAATATTTTGCTAATATATGTTATTGCTATTGAAATTTTGGATATTTATATGTGCAATTAAATATATTTAGTTTTTGGTATTAACTGGCGCCTTTTTCAAAAAGGCGAGCGCCTCGCCGTGTGGTGAGGCAGGCCCTTGTCGCCTTTTGTCGTCTCTCGCCGTCCAAAACACTGCGTGAAACGTGCTATAGACAATCTCTCATACCTCCTTAATGGTGCATGCGTGCATCTTCTCTTATATGCCCAAACCATCTCAACCTTGCTTCCATCATTTTGAGCCACGAAGGCCACTCCCCTTTGTTCTGAATTACTTCGTTTTTAATCTTTTCTCTCCTTATATGCCCACACATCTTTCTTAGCAATGATAAAGTGTAAACATCATAATTAATTATGTTAAGCAAGGCCACATTGCTTCACAATGGAAAATGTGATTTTAATGTACTTGTGATATCTTTAGGTGGCTTAGTAACCGTAGGGCTCATTTGGTATGAGATATAGCGACAATTGGTCCCAAGAATAATTTTAGGACGAGTTTATCACATGTTTGGTTGGGATAAAATCACAGGTTAACTTATTCCAGGATTGTAGTTTAATTTTTATCCCACATTGAGGGCGGATAACAATTCTGGGATACTTGTTCCCCAACCAAAAAAACCCTTTGTTTTTACACTTCCAAGGGTTTCTTGATTGGGATTGTTAAAATGGAGAGACTAACAATGATGTTGAGGGAGAAGATCAGTTCGAGAAGAGGAAAGAGAGAGTAATTGGGAAATGGGATATTTTCATTTCTCTGATAAAAACTTGCATTTTGTATCCATACATCTATATATATAATCAACTAACTAAGCTAGCTTAGACTAAGATCAGTTATTACTGACTAGCAAATCCTCTAAATAACAATGTAAACTCCTAACATCACTCTAACAATGTATAATCACCTACTGCCTATCTTCTTATAACTTCTACTGAGTTTTCTTCCAGATCTGGACCATCTGTTAGTGTTCAATATATGATCTTTTGTACCGTTTTGACATTTTGATTTCTGAGGCAGAGATATCTCTCGTTTTGGAAGTGCTTTGCTTCTAAAACGATTACTTTTGTTCTCATCATGACCAAAAAAGTGATTACTTCTTGTTCTGAGCTTCTGATAGATTTGAAATAGTATATTTGCAATGTGACTTCATCTGTGGTATCTAATTCTATTTAAAGAAGATGAATTGTTACCTTCGACTTTTCATCTGCTTGGCTTTTAAGTTTCACTTTTCATAAGAATTTCCTAAGAATGAGACAGGGTACTCATGTTTCAAACAGCTACAAGTGTGAACTATATATATTCTTTATTTGGTCATAGTCTTTTGTTAGAGTCAGATACCCAAGTTTCTGCATAAAGCATTTTCTTTATATAGTTTGCAATTTATCTGGGTGCAGATGGTGCAGACACCACTTCATGTTGCTGCTGGTTACAATAATGTTGAAATACTCAAGTTTTTGCTAGGTTGGTCTGGCCCAGAAAAGGTGGAAATGGAAGCCAAGAATATGGTATGTGCAGCAGCCTATTAATTAAGAATCTTCACTTAGTCAGTTGTAACAAAATGGACTTCTTTTTTGAGTTTGTCTCTTAACTGGTGTAATTCTTCTTTCTTTCCTGTTTAATAACAAAAAAAAAAGGTAGACTTATTTTGTGTATTGCAGTACGGAGAGACCCCTTTGCACAAGGCAGCCAAGAATGGGTGTAATGAAGCTGCAAAGAAGCTTCTTGCTAATGGTGCCCTTGTTGAAGCCAAAGCAAATGTGTGTATTCTACTGCTTCCGTTATTATTCAGCTTGAAAATGTCTTTCGTTTCAATTGTTTGATTCCTTACTTTTCTCCGAGTCTTTCTTGCAGAATGGGATGACTCCATTGCATCTTGCTGCTTGGCACTCGCTACGAGTTGAAGACTGTTGTACGGTCAAGACATTGTTAGAGCATGATGCTAATTGTAGTGCCGAAGACATTGTATTGTAAATTATTTATTCACTAACTTTGAGTTCCGTTTATGATTGCTACTAATTGTAGAATGTATGAAATGCAGGAGGGCATGACTCCTATAAATCATCTCTCTCAAGGACCTGGCAATGAAAAATTGCGAATACTTCTCAATCGGCATCTTGAAGAACAAAGAAAACGTAAAGATATTGAAGCATGTGGCCAGACAAAAGCAAAAATGGATGAACTTGAAAATGAATTGTCAAAATAGTTGGCTTACATGAGCTTAAGCAGCAACTCCGCCAATGGGCTAAGGGGATGCTCTTGGATGAGCAGCGTCAGGCCCTAGGTCTTAAAGTTGGTGCAAGAAGACCACCACATATGGCTTTTCTTGGAAACCCTGGAACAGGTAAGCTTATGTCATTTGTTTTTTACAACAAAGAAGAGACGCATACTTATTGAAGAACACAAAAGACGAGGTTAAATATGTCGGTAAAAAATGTAGATACCCTGATTATATTGCTAGTGCTTCTCATTGCAGTGTAGGCTTGAGATTTTACATAGATGTATTTACTGCTTAGCTTGTGTTTGATGTATAGCTACGGGGTCGATTTCTTAGACTTCTTTGACAATACTATTACAGGGACAACTATGGTTGCTAGGATTCTTGGGAAGTTGCTTCATATGGTAGGAATTCTTCAAACTGACAAGGTGATGGAAGTGCAGAGAACAGACCTGGTTGGTGAATTTGTTGGTCATACAGGACCAAAGACAAGAAGAAAGGTAAGTTTTTGGTATTTTGCGCTATATATTTGGCATTTGGCTCATATGTGATGAAGTCCATTAAATTATCTGCAGATCCAAGAAGCTGAAGGGGGGATTCTTTTTGTTGATGAAGCCTATAGATTAATACCTATGCAGAAGTCAGCTGATAAGGACTATGGTTTGGAAGCTCTAGAGGAGATAATGTGTGTCATGGACAGTGCGAAAATTGTAGTCATTTTTGCAGGCTATAGCGAACCAATGAAGCGTGTAATCTCCTCTACTGAAGGCTTTTGCAGAAGAGTTACAAAATTCTTTCATTTTGAAAACTTTAGTTCGAAGGACCTAGCTAAAATTTATCATCTTAAAATGAGTAGTCAAGGTGAGAGCAGCTTGTTATACGGATTTAAGTTGAGTCCTTCATGTAGTATTGATGCTGTTGCAGCACTTACCGAGGAAGAAACCACTGAAAAACAGCGCAAGGAGATGAATGGAGGTCTAGTGGATCCAATGCTTGTTAATGCAAGAGAAAATTTGGATTTGAGACTCAGTTTCGAGTGTATAGATTCGGATGAGCTACTTACAATCACATTAGAGGACCTAAAAGTTGGTTTGCAATTGCTGTCAAAATGAATGGAACAAGACATGACTTGATTTGTATAAAGATTTTTGAAGAAATTTTCTGATTCACCAGTGGAAGCCTGCCATAATTAGTTCATTGAATTTATGTTTCACATTCTTTCTTGTTTATTGATAGGCTAAGGTTAGGCTGTAACAAGCTAGATAAATACTACTTGTATTCCAATTTGTATAACGAGAATATCTAATTTCAGTACACCTTCATTTGATCCACCGCTTTTCAGTCTCCTAAATTAGACAGTGACTACTAAACTATTTGTAGGTAAATATCTCTTTGGACTTTGCTATTTAGGTGGTGGGAGTAAAGAAACAAATAGAGAATAGAAACAACTAGAGATTCAACTTGTAGCTGGTGTTATTTTTCAACGTTTAATTATTATTTTTTTTTTTATAACTAGAAGCCAAGTTAATCTTGACTAATTGTTTTTGTAATTTGATCGATATTTATTTTATCTAGATCTATACAAAAGTATTTTTCTATCTTGGTATGACAATTGAAAATATTTCTAGCTGGAGCTTTAAACGAATTATAAGGTTTAACATTAAAATGCTGAAAAGAAAAAGAACTTAAAATGAAAATTTTCACACATCCATGATTCTTCAGATGTTACTCCATTCGTTTTACGTGTTACTTCGATTGTTTAAATTTATTTGTTTAATTTCGATTCAATACAAAGTTAAAGAAAAGAAATAAAGCTTTTTCAATCTTGTGATGTTAAACTAAAGATATATTAAATGTATCAATTTAATCTTGTGATATTAAACATATCACGTGACAAAATGAAATCAAAGAGTTGTAAAAAAACTTATATAAATTAATTAAAAAGTAAAATAAAATAAAATTGAAACTGAGTAGGTATGTGCTAAATACATGTATATAGACATTTATTATTTTTCACTAGGTGGTAGGAGAATAATATTAGTCTTCTCGATGAAGATACAAAATATACTAAAAACAAAAATCTATTTCATGTGACTGTAGGTTGTTTTTTTTTCCGATGATGCTCCGCCTAGTTGGTTTCCAGCTTTGTCATCAAGGACCTACATCCAACAATTAGATCATCATAGAGTAGGTTATCTTTTGTTTAACTTTTTTATCACTTCAGTGGAGTCAGAGTTGATTTCCAGGTGGTTCAAATTGTATTCTACTGCTAGTGATACGCTCAAACTTACTTCTCAAATAAGAAGTAAAGCGGTCGTGTCAAGTAAATAACCCAACTAGTGAGGTTGGGATTGTTCCCACGAGGAAAATAGTTTACATTTAACTTCAATTTATTATTACTTTTTTTAGTCAATTACTTCCTTGGAAAGTAAAAACAATAAAAGGGGGGTTTCTATTTCTAAATGAATGAAAATAACTAACGAAATTGAAAGAGACACTTAACAGCTTTGAATGTTGGAGTTTAATCAATTAATCAAAGTAACTAGGGTTTACGTGCTCCCCGCAGGTTCATAACTTGATAATTCTAACTATAACAATTTTTTTCTAGTATCTTGCATGCAAAGTGATAAGTTATGTATTTCTAAATCCTTGGTCCGGCATCTAGAAAATTTCACTCCGCACCTTGGTCCGGCTACCTGTGTTGCTATCCTAACCCTTATCTTTACCTCATATTAAGCATCGTATTCGATATTTGACTAAGTTATTACCTCGTACCAATCAATACTAGCCTATTAGATAGTATACACTAAATCTATGTTGATAATTCTTTTCCTATTATCTACCTCCTTGGTCCGGCAAGTAGCATTAAGACGAGTTCTAACGTTGGCCATCCGTTAAAAAGACTTCTAAGCGAAAGAATTATTAATACATGCAAGACACTATTCTAGAATTGTTATTTTAGTTAGGTTTTATCTCATTATTTGCCTATGGTTCCCACAACCCTAGTTATGAAGTTTAGTTACCCATAGTCATAATCACAATATTCAAATATATGATATAAGAATTCATGTACTTACTTTAATAAGAAAGAGTAAAATCCGAAAGTTTGCTTGATTAATCACCAAAAATCACCAACAATCACTTCCAAGAAATAATCAATAATGTCACAAAAACTCTAATGATAATCAAAAGTCTAACAATACAGTGTTTACTAATACGGTGTCTAACTAATAATACAGAGTCTAACCTCAAAAATGAGATTTTCCAAACTATTTATAGAGAATAAAAACCTAATTAAACAAGGACTCTATTTGCTGGAAATCTGTCAAAACGCGGCTGGGTCGACGGACCTAGCGACGGATCGTCGTGGTCACGACGGACCGTCATGGACTCCGTCGTCCCATACTTGTGCAATTTCTTCTACTGCTCTCTTCATTACCCTCGACGGCAAGTATGACGGATCGTCACAGACACGACGGTCCGTCGAGGGTCTTCATTCCAAAACACTTAAACTCTTGGAATATGGGTACTGGGATTACTTCTCTGAACTTCATGACGAACCTGCAGGACGGACCGTCATAGACACGACGGACCATCATGGACTCCGTAACCCCACACTTGGTCAGACTTCCCCATTTTCCTTCAGCAGCTGCACTACGCTGCCACCTACGGACCGTCTCAAGCATGACGGACCGTCACAAGCTCCGTAGGTGGTCTCTTCTGCATTTCTTTGCTAAAAAACCTCTGCATTCATCTTTGGACAGATTTCCTGCAAATAAGGAGAAACTTATATAAAAATTAGCACAAAAAGGCTTTTGGACACACTAAACTTAAGGAAAAAGTATTAATAATACTGTGAAACCGCTGTATATCAACACCCTCAACTTAAATTCGTTGTTTGTCCTCAAGCGAAGCACTATGACTCACTACACAATCTTTGTACAATAGTATCCATGTTTTATCCTTTGCAATCATTTAGCTATCAATCCCGATTAATCTCATCATATTTATGCATGCTATCACTATTAGGCTTGAATTATGTGGAATCAGACGATGATAGTGACTCGCCATGCACTAACACCTATCCTCTTCAATTTCTCACCGAGGTGCTAATATTTTCGGTAATGCAACTAGTGTCCTCACTTCAAAACAAAATCCTCATTTTTCACATAATGATTTCAGTTTGAGTATGAGGATTACTTTTCAACACTCACTCTCAGAACAAATTCACACTCATTCATACCTTTTGCCATAAGCTTGCCCTTATTTTCACTGCTTTAAGTTCGCTATACAACCCTTAGGATCACGATAGGACTTTCTTAGCTTGTAACATAGGCTCAGGGTCAGGTAGGGTATATTTAGGTATACTTTAGTGACTTTTTCCCCTCCTTTACATATCGGATAAACATACCATTTTCTATCATTTTATCTCGACTAGTTTCTCATATTCTTTCACCTTGCTATTTTCTCTTCTTTCTTCATTTGTGTAAGTTACTCTCTTCTTTTCTTGCTTGTATTTCATGTATATTTTTTCTTTTTCTTTACTTTTCTTTTAACTAATTCTTATGTCACTTTACTTCTGTTATTTCTCTCTCTTTGTTCTTTCAACCCCACTTTCCAAAGCATTCCTCATAATAGCCACCCTCAACACATGGCTTTGCCATGAGTCAAAGTACACAATATCCAAAGTTGGGTCAGGGCCATAACGAAGGTTGTTTACTGAATTAGCCACCCTCAACTTATGCTTTTGGCATAAGCTGTGGTGCACATGTCCAAGGAGGGACCAGGGCCAACACATTATTCCCAGAAAAGATCAGTTGGGGTGAAAAAGAAAAGTCTAATTTAAGCTCAGACATTTGGATCAAAGAAGGATAAATTTCATTTGGTTTTCTTTTATTTAGGCTAAAAATGGGCTATATTGAATAAGAGCCTATGATCCTTTCCTAATTTTCTATTACAACTTACTTTTAGCAGGACTAACCAGGCAAGTTCTAGCTCAGTACAAATAGTGAACTATTCAAATCATCCTCACACTCACTAGACATCTCATCACTCTAACAGATTATCAGACACCTAGTTCAAATTTTAGACTTAGGGTAATGCAATGGTGTACCTCTATGTCATGCTTAGAGCCACACATTTATCAGTTACTATGCCTAGTCATGCATCATTTTCCAATTTATCAGGATATCATTTTAGCCATCATGCTCCAGAATTAAACTATGTACAAAAGATAAAGACATGCCGGTTCAACAGAAAAAGTAATCAGTCTCCTGGGGAAAAAGAACACAGTCAAGAAAACCCCAAAAGAGGATAGTGAATTGGACTACTCAGACTTCACCCTAGCACTCACTTTCCATTTACCCCACCCTAACAAAAAAAACATGCAATTGTCCCCAATGCATAAAAAATTGAAATACTAGAGTGGTAGGTGAAGAAAACCTGTGGCGCAAAGCGCCGACGATCAGCAAGTTGGTGGGTCCGGTTCCTCGGAACCCACTTCCTTTGTAATCTGGACAGCCTCAGTGGTGTCCTCAGCAACAACATCACTATCTCCCGCTATCTCTACAGTGCCTCCCGCTATCTCCACAGTTCGGGAGCTTGACGCCCCAGCCGCTAACTCTCTTGCTCCATCTGGTGCACCTCCTCCTCAGCAAGTGAGGCTCTCCTCGCAGCCTCCATCTCACGGCGCTCCTTCTTCCGTGCTCGCGCCTCGTCCTCTGCTCGACCCCTACGCCACTTGGCATGCTCTCGAGGGGGAGGTGGTGGAATCTCTGACGTGGAGAATAGGGCCTCCAACACTGTGTCTTCAGCAGGCTCGACAGAAGGGGCCTCAGACTCAGGCACCTTAGCCTCTAAGATCGTGTCAATATCTGCGCGAAGACTGTCGACCGCAGCCTGAAGAGTCGATACATCCACCGGAGGGGCTGGCTGGACAAACACCCGCAACTCAAAAGCGTCCAAGCGCTGGTGAACCTCAGCGATCTTCCGTTCTGTATGCTGGACCATTTTCCGCTCCAAGCGCTCTTCTACCTCGGTAATTGACCTCTGCATCCACGGCTGAATATGATGCAGAAGTGTATCCACTTGCGCTTCTAGTTTTTGGACCCTAGAAAGCGGGACCAGCGCGGGTAGAGGGGCTGTGCGAGAGGAGCTCGGGGCAATGCTACTACCCGGGATAGACTCGACCAGGGCAGTGTCAGTGGATGCCGCCTGTGTAGCCGTGCGGGCCTGGGCTACCGTATCAGCCAGATCATCAGCAAGTGGGGGCAGCTCTGGATGGGGCCCTCTGCGTGGAGCCAACTCATTGGCCTCATCTCTGATGAGGCCG